TCGTGCTCGTCGTGCTGGGACATCTGCTTCTACTCAGCCGACTGACCCTCTTCCTCCTCCTCCGGCTGAGGAGATCGCTGAGGATGAGCCCGCTCCCTCTGAGGCCGTTCCTCAGCCGCAGATGGTCGCCTCCGAGCGTCCACAGCGCACTCATCGTCGCCCTTCACGTTACGATGACTGACACTCTTATCCTCCATCTTTCCCAACTGACTCACACCATCAGGTACTCCATCATCAACTCTTCTTCAGGATGTCAGCGTTTTGCGGCTCTGCTTCGACATCGACTCGACTGCTACTTCATCGACGTCATCGACCGATTCGACGACTTCAGCTACCTTATCGGCTTCAGCTACTTTGGACGTGACTACTTCACGCCACCACCCTACCCTGTATATTTCCTTGCATCTGTCGCATGATGGTTCTCACTTAGCTGGGTCTCTTTGAGTTGGGCTCTCCCTTGGTATCGCATAGGCATTGGGACCGTAGCGTTATCTTGGCTTCCCTGCTYCCRGATCTAGCTCCTTCCTCCCCCAGTCGGTGAGTTGTATGCATATTTCCCTCACCCACTGCCCTCATCACCCTAGTGCCGGCCCTTGCATGCCTTCAGTTAGGCATATCTCCACCCTATTCCAGGCTTCCCCTTTTCATGGTCGACCCTGCATGGTGTCACCCTTGTCGAGCATTACCCGCCTTGATGGTCTATCTGTTAGGGTCATTGGTTTTSTTTCGCTACCACTCTCCCACCTTGAGCCTGATGACCTATCCCACCTTCATGTGTGACTGCCCTTAGGAGTTTCGATTCTTAGGCTGCATTCACCCCCTCTGAGACCATCCCACTTTTAGTGGTTCAGCGACATGACATTATCTTGTGACATATTGYTTTTCTCCTTTCAGCACTGAGGCCACTGCCTCCAGGACTTTAGGAGTGTATCATACTACATTTCATTTTCTGCTGTTAGCTAGGATATGTATACCAGACATTTGCTTTTCTTTTGACATTATATAGCTTAGGATGCATCGCATGGACTCTGCATGGAGCTTGCTCCGCATCCTAGATTTCTCAGCTTTCTTTATTGCAGAGTTCCGCTGCTTTTGCGGATAGCGTGTTTATGGCTCTTGCGATCCATTACAGGTCTGAGGATCGTGCAGCGGGCCTTCATCTGCCCTGGCCCACAGCCAGGGCCTATTTGGCTATTTGCCAGTCCGGCCTGTGGGACCAGGCCGTGGCATCACCCCACAGGCCGTGCGGTTATTCAGTCCAGTCCAATCCTGTCCGGAACCACTGTCGGTACCAGGCCAGTCTAGTCCAGTCCTGTCAGTCCGCTGGGGGTATACCCCAGCTGCAGCCTGTTTTGTGGCTCATTCTTCATTTTGCACAGATTGGAGTACGTGCGTGTTGAGTCTGCGTTGGAGCTGCGCTGTCCCTTCCAGCTCCATCTCCATCTCCCCCATCCTCATCCCTTCGTCGACCGCCATCTCGGCGGGTCCGTCACACACACACTGTTCTCACAAGGATCTACTCTGAATACTACTCATAGCTAAGTACTAACCCTTCTACTCTACTTACTAACTCGCTGGGCAGCTATGGCTGCATCCCTTCCAGCGCACAGTCTTCTTCTTCCCTCTTAGCGCATCTTTCTTCCTCCAGCGCTACTCCTACTGACTAACGCACAAGTGCACCAGCACTTCCACGCATTCAAGCCAGTGGAGATCTGGCGAGGAATGAGGCTGGCAGCTTTCTTTATAGTGCTGGCCACTCCTCGCTGGGTCTGCATTGGCTCAATTCAGCCTGTCCTTTGTCCCAGACCCTGCATTGCATGTGTCCCAGTGTAGTCCCAATGAGGTGCGACTGCTGCTGAGGCCTCTCGGCCTAGATTTGGACTTCAAAGTCTGGATCTGGACTGACCCCTTGACTTAGACCAGAACTGGGACTGTGCCTATTGACTTTACTTTCGGACAGGCACAACTCTAAACGAACAGACACATTTACTGCCTGAACAGACACTTTCCTTTGCACGAACAGGTACACTGTCTGCACGTACAGACACACTCTCACCCGAACAGACATGACATACACAGCTCCTGGTGAACAGGTAAGTCTTTTGACAATGCCCCTTGCCTTAGATTTAGATGTGCCTGTTGATAGAGAACTTGACCTTTGACCTGCTTTCACGTTTCTGAGCCCTGGCGAGATACCTTTTCACAATGCTTCACTTTTACAAGGCCTGAGGCCTATATCGAGTAAAGGCCCTTTTATATCTGATGAATGTGTACTTCGGAATTGGCCAGGATCATAACAGATTAGATTATCATTTTGCTGCAAAACGGACAAGGATGACAACTTTAGCAAAACTGAGAAATGCCGCTTAAAATTCAAGTAGTCCTTTAAACTCCTTTTCCCTTCTTCTTTTTTTTGTTCTGAAACCCTTCACACAGCTACAGGCTCAGCTGACGTAGCAGACTCAAATCACAAACTGCTTAATTCAAATCCCAAACTGCAATTTGTAAGCAGATTAAGTACTCATAACTCAAAGTCTTTCCAAGAGTCAACAATAATCCAAGTGGAAAAGTACACGGAGGCAAAGGAAAGAACAGGAGAAAAAATCCCCCCCTTCCCGCCCCCCCCCCCC